GGGAGAAGGGGCCCGGCTACCTCCCTGCCTTCAAGATACTATGAGCCGTTGGGTCTTCCAGGGTGTCAAATCCTCTCTGCCTCTTTCTGGACGGTCAGGCTGGAATGAAATGCCCTTTTTTTGGGTCCTGTTTTGCTGTGAAAACATCAGAGGAGAGAGAATGAATGTACACAGGAGGACCCTTGACCAGGTTGCTATCAAATCCAGGTGTTGGAAGATGCGCTCTGTTTGATTCATGCTCTGGGAAGATTCATCATCAGAATAAGTGCAAATTTTGGGAATGGAACAGAGGTGGTTGGGTTCTAGCCTCTGCTTCACAGATGCTCCCCCTCCCCATTGTTTTTCCTCCGTCCTGTGAAGCTTCTCGGTTTAAACGCAGTCGTTCTGAACATGGCGTTCTAGCACATTCGCCGGGATCGGCAGGAAATTAAAATAGTGGCGCAGACGAAGAAAGGAGGAGGGGAGACACCCCTCCCAGGGCCTTCTGAGCAATGAGCGAGGCCCCCAGCCACCGGGTGGGTGGGCTTCTATAAATATCGGTTCATCGCTTTGTCACCTTCAAAATTTGACAGAACCCTGGCTTGGAACAAAAGAACTGAAGGAGATTATTTCGTTCATCCCGGCTCGCGTTCCTCCCCCCCCACACACACATCGCCGCCCCTGTTCCACTCTAGAAATCCATGGATGCACATTTGCTCTGCTGACGTCTTTAAAAAGTGCAGGTTGCCATGGCAACGGTTCAGTGTCCCACATTCTCCCAATATGCTGGGAGAAGAAGGTGGGGGGGGAATGAAATGGCAGAGCGGATAGAGTGCTCTGGCCCATGCGAAGCCAGATTCCTTAGACCTGGTCAGAATACGGTGGACACCTGTCTTTGGAGGTCAGAATATGGCCCTTTGCTCCGGGCTCATCCAGGCTGCCTTCAGAACTGAAAACAACGTGCAGCCATGCGTGCTTGATTTCCCCATCTTTCCGCCCCAGTTTGAAATGGGAAACAGCTTAGCTTGGCCCAGGACCTTGGCGGTCCCCCTCAGCCTCTTGGCCATCAGGCCAGGGCCTGGATGGAGCAGAAAGGGGGACCCGCGTGTTGGCAAAAAAATAAATAAATCCCTGACATATAGAATCATGAAGTTGGAAGGGGCCTATAAGGCCATGTGTGGGCGTTGTGGGTTAAACCGCAGAAGCCTCTGGGCTGCAAGGTCGGAAGACCAGCCATCGTAAGATCGAATCCACGCGACGGAGTGAGCTCCCGTCGCTTGTCCCAGCTCCTGCCAACCTAGCCGTTCGAAAGCATGTAAAAATGCAAGTAGATAAATAGGGACCACCTTGGTGGGAAGGTCACGGCGTTCCGTGTCTAGTCGCGCTGGCCACGTGACCACGGAAACTGTCATCAGACAAACGCTGGCTCTACGGCTTGGAGAGGGGGATGAGCACCGCGCCCTAGAGTCGGACACGACTGGACTAAATGTCAAGGGCAACCTTTACCTTTACCTATAAGGCCATCAAATCCAACCTCTGGCTGGATGCAAGGATACAAATCAAAGGATCACTGTATGTGTGTAAAGGTCCTGCACCCTTGCTCAGAAGGAGGCCCTGGCACAAATCCCTTTTCAGCCGCTGTCATTTGCCTTAACATCAGCGGATGACGGGATGCTTGACACAAGCAACAGAGGCAGGTCTCTGCCCCAAGGAGCATGCCATGAAAGACTTCCCAAGCTGTTTCAGAGGCAAACGGCTCTTTCCCCCCAAAACACAGCATGAGAAAAATCTTGCTGACGTGGGAACATCCAGTGAAAGAAACAACTGTGGCCCCAGTGTGTCCGTGTGGGGTGTGCCACGAAGCACCGGGAGGATCTGGATAAGAGTGAATGGACTCATAGAGAGGGGAGCCGGACACGTGTCCACTGTAAGAGCTGCTGGAAGTCAAAGGTTCTCCAGGAGGGCAGAGTCCAGCCCAGTCCAGCCCTCCTTTCCCTCACTGACCCCTTCATCTTCCAGAAGGGGGAAGAAGCGACAAGAGGGCCAGCCGTCCATCCAGGATCTGGCTCTTCCTAACAGGAAGGAACTGGCCAGCGAGACTTTGGGGTGAAAGGGACCCCTTCTCTCCTGGGACTTGTTAGCGGGAGAAGATGGTTTCCTGGACTTCGGGAAAACTGGTTTTCCATCAGCTGGGAGAAATACAGGGTCAGAAAGAGACTCAGATGAGTCTGTGATGGACCGGAGTTTTTGTAAGAATGAGCCACTGTCAGAAGTGGATTCTCAGGGGACAAGGGCTGAGAAGGAGACTCCTTCCAGTCTCCAGAAAGAGGGATGAACCCCGAAATTGTAGAGAGAGAAGGTTGGGAAGGCCTGGGAGAGAAGTTTAAGCAGAACAGAAAGGGTTTTTCATCGGTGTAGGAAGCAAGAGAACCAAAAAAGAGCTTGGCCTCCTGCAAGGGGCCAGAGGCGAGGCTGAGGGAAAGCAGGAGGGCCGGCGATCTGCTGGAGCAAAGCCTTGGCCAGCCTCCCGCAGGCGATCCTGGGGGCCCAGCGGGTCAAATGTGGGCAGGGAAGGGGAAAAAAACTAAGGAAGGACCCCGGGCGCAAGCTGGCTTGGCAAGAGGACCTGGGAAGA